ATTATAGGAGAATTTAGGAATTGGTATAAAAATTTAGATTTAATTGAATTAAATTATATTAAAAAAATTTATTTGACCCTAATTGTATTTTTTTTTTCTAAGATATCTACCAAAGCAAAGATCTCTTCCAAGAAGGTTTAGGGCATCCGCAATGGCTCGAAACCAAGACCACCTACTTAAGTGACCAGAGCCCCTTCCACTCATGCCAACCTCGATGGTTAAGTGCATTTTTTTGATAAAAAATAAAAGGTTATTTATATATATATATATATCTGATTCAGTATGATATAATTCAAATTATTTATATATTTTTTATATAAATATTAAAGAAAGTAAATGATTATTTAAAGAAATTTAGTTGAAATTTAGGTATAATTTATTAAAATTTAGTTTAGTAAGTTATTTAGATCGAATTAAAATTTTAAATTATTAACAAATTTGGATATGGACAACGAAAATAAATTTCGACGGATTATCATATTGGATTCATCGGGCTCAAAATCAAATCTGAATTCAAATCAGTCAAAATCTAATCCAAAACTTGATCCGTTGATAGACATAGAGTGTTGGTGATTAAAATATGCAAAATTTACTTGTTGTGTTCTTATTGAATTGTGATATTATGATGTCACCGTTAAATTGAATATTTTCTCCTTAACAATGCTCTTTTGACACCCTGCTCTCTTCAATAAATCTTATTGTAAGTAATAGTGTTAAAAATAAAATATGACATAATACATTAACACTATATAAACTTTAGGGAGAATTACACTCAAATTTCCTGAAGTTTGTTACTTAATAACTTAAACCTCTTGATTGGGACATAATTTTTAGTATGGGCCGCCATGGCCATAGAGCCCAGTGAGCCCAGAGCATTCTGCTTCGCCTGTTGGCCCAAAGGAAACATACCTAGCCAGCCCGTATCAAGAGGCAAAGCTCAAAAGGACCGGCGGTCCGGCCCTAGCCGAAAGATAGTCAGAGAGGGAGAAGTCAAACTCTAATCATAGACGCATCCTACCACTCCACGCGTCCCAAAAATACAAGGGGATCATCTGTGAAACCTATGACAGTCACACCTACCTACGGGGAGTGGTGGTGCGTAATGACCCAGGCACAGTGGGTACAGTAACGCTAGCTGGCAGGGCTTTACTTGCAGGGTAAGGACGGAAGGTCCCCACAAAATCAACAAGCAGATAAGAGGAGCCGATGGGAACCCCTCTGGGGCGTTCGAACACCCAAGAATGCATGAGTTAGAATATAACTTCCTGTAATGGCCCAGTGCCTGTAATGCTATTTACTTCAAAAAAGGATCAATATACAGGCTCAAAGAGCAAGAGACTTCATTACAGTGGATGTAACCTCAGTCCGTCGGCTGGGGTGAACCATTTAACACCTGTGTCTCTTCTTACCGATTAGGCTATCTCTCAGTTCTCACCACCTAAATAAAACTCATCAACTTCCTGTCCACAACCGGACTTGGGCCATAATTTTCGAGACCTCATCACCTCCTAACATTTCTCATGAGATTTGTACGCGTGTAACACTTAGACCCCTGTCGTCAATATTTATTAGTATATTCGTTAACAAATTACATCTATACTCCCTGAAATTTGTAGACGTGTAATACTTAGACTCCTCATATATAGTATAATTAAATACTAATTATGATTTTTTAAGAAAATTTTAAAATTTTACTTTTGATTTTAGTTCAATAAATGACATAATAGAATATGAATTTTGGTTAAAAATTTCATATTCTATTATGAGTGATTTAGACCCCTTATTTGATTTTTTAAGAAAAAATTAACTTTTTATTTTTAATTTTATTTTAATAACTGATATAATAGATTATGAATTTTAATTGTAAAATTTAAAATATTTGATATTTTATTTTTAGTGGAGTATTTTTTTGTTTAAATATAATATTTTAGATTTGAAGAGTTTAAGTATTATACTCCTACAAATTTCAGAGAGTCTGAGTATAATTTACTAACGGATATACTAACGAACATTTGACGGCAGAGATTTAAGTGTTATGTGTATATAAACTTTAGGGGGTATGTGTGTAATATTTTAAATGTCAAATGTCTGAGTGATTAAGTGACAAATCTCAGAATGTTTAGGTGTAATTATCTCTAAAATTTTAAAAATTTAATTTATTTTAGGTCATCTATTTCTTAAATGAAAAGAGGCAACATAATACGTAAATAAAACGAGTATTAGTAAAGCCAATAAAAAAAAAATATATTGATTTAACGTTACCAGTGGCATTGGTCCCTCCGAGCCTGAAACTACTTCGTACAACCTCCTCGCCTCTTTTCCCTCTAATTTTATAATTCGAAGGAAAATCAATCCTTTTCTTGCCTTCTCGCATTTCCATTTCTTTTTCTCTTCTTTACGCCTTCTCTGATTCTTGCCTTCTCTCTCTCTCTCTCTCTCTCTCTATCTATCTATCTATATAAATGTAAGTGCGCACACACATACGTATCAAATGAGCTTTCCGTGATTCATTAATGGCGGCACCTGTAGTGGATTCCGAGTACCTGAAGGAAATCGAGAGGGCTCGTAGGGACCTTCGAGCTCTCATCTCCAGCAAGAACTGCGCACCTATAATGCTCCGATTAGCGTACGTACTTGCCTCCATCTTTTCCTTTTGCTACTTTCATTTCGTTCATTTTAATTGATCATTGTCCTTTTGTGCTTATTTTTTTTTTTTTTTGCGTCGTATTGCGTAAATTATTTCTCTTGATTGCATTTTGTCTTCTTAACAGTAGCTAGACTTTACTATACCGTCGTGGTTTGGTCCTCTCACGTGCGTGTTAGACTCTCGATACGAGTTGGCCATGTCCGTCCAGTTATTATGCAGGATCTATATGTTCCGATTGGAGCTTAGGCTTGTTGATATGATTGCTTTAGCGATTGTTTTGTATTGTCAATTTGATCCAAGATCAAAATGTATTTTTCGAACTCATATCCACCTAAAAACTTATAAACATTTTTATAACCAATGTAAGATTTTCACATAATTAATACCCAACAGATTTTTCACTAGTTACTGTAGATACAAGTGGGAAAGTCACCTACCAACGGTCAGTCCTCTTTTGCTCTTTTTCGGGCTAGGTTAGTACAAGTCAGAGAACAAAGAATGGACAATTTGTAAATGGACGAATGTTGCTTGAACGTATCAATAAGATTGACAAAAATGGTACTTTTCGTTTCATGTGCTGAATATATCCCATAATTAAGAAATAATTGCGATTAGCTTGGGGTAGGATAATGTTCAATATTTTTTTATTTTATTTTTTATTTTTGGGGGAGGGGGAAGGGGAAGGGGAAGGGAAGGGGAAGGGGAAGGGAACTTGATCCCTTAACCTCAAGAAGACAAAGTCTTTACAAGACAAGGAGTACTATTGGACCAAAGGTCATCGGTAAGATAATGTTTAATAATTGTCATTATTTTGCGACATAAAAATTTGTATTGGTTAATTTGATTTTTATTTTTTATCCCAGCACAACTGTACTCTGCCAAAAATGCAAAAAGCATGCTATACTTATGTGAAGATTTGATGTAGTAAGTTTTTTGAGCCATAGGAGTTTGATAATAAAAAAAAATGAGATCTTTCTGCAGGTGGCATGATGCTGGCACTTATGATGCTAAAACGAAGACAGGAGGTCCTAATGGCTCAATCAGGAATGTGGAAGAGTACATACAGGATGCAAATAAAGGTTTGAAAATTGCTATAGATCTATGTGGTGAGTTTTGGCTACCTGATATCTATAGATCAGTGAATGCTGCCTACTTTGAGGCCTAAAAATAATTCGTTTGAGACAATTTACTTTTGTAGTGGTCAAACGTCCAAATCTATCGATGAAATTGCATATTGCAAGAGTTTTCTGTAGTATTTTTGCACTAGATAATTATTCTGGAATCAAGACATCATTGATTATGCATTGTTTCTGTATGCTGGGCTTATTCAGTCATGAAAGGGGAATGTAAGTACAGCCTTTCTAACAAGGACAAGGGTGATAACATGGGAAACTAAATTGGGACTTGACCTTACAAGTAATAAGGAAGTTTATTTTTGGATTTAGTTTGGGGGATGACAGAATGCCCTAAATGCAAATATCGCTTACAAATAGAAGCTGCTAAGAAATATGTGAATCAACCTATTTTTTTTTATTTTCTGGAAATTTGATTTGTAATTCAATGTGAACTAGACAACTTATTCATTAGATTTAGCAAGATGTTGAAAAAATGAACACACATTGGAAAGAAGAGCAGCCATGAAGAAATATATGGCAGGATAATTTTCTAATTGTGTTAATTTAAGTTCATAGGGATTTTTAGATTGTGTTAATTTGATATAAAATTTTCATTTCAATCCTTACACTTCTTTATTTAAGACATTCTTGGATACCCCATTTAATTGACAATTTTTTTTGTGTTAAGAGTGTCTTCAGACACGGGTAATAACTAGTAAGATTATATGAGTCATTGACTAGTGCAATGGTTTTCAAATGCTTATTGCTATTTCTTTCTGACAACAGAGATAGTGAGGGCCAAGCATCCGAAAATTACATATGCTGACCTCTACCAGGTGACTGTAATTGGATTTTATGTTGGGATAATGTTTTTTTTTTTGTTATTTCATTGTATATGACACTGTAGAAGTTTTGCCAGTTTGCCTTTTCTGCTCCACAGATTATCTTCATGCTCTTGAGAAAAAAAAAGCATGATAATTGAAGTTCAAGGGTTCTACCCAATCTAGATGTTGGTTGAGGAGCTTGGTTTTACAAGCATACCAAGGACTGCACGTTGTTTTCATCAATATAGGAGGTTTCACTAGTATCAGTAGCAATAAGATAACCAACTGAAATTAGCAACATTTTTGTCCCAATTATTGAGTCCTCTACTGAATTTTTTTCTTGCAATTCTGCTTTATACTGGGCCATTCTTTTGGTCACGCATGCAATATGTCTTTCCTCACTACCTCACCAATTGGCCATTATGTTCTTCTCTCATTCCTGGCCCTGAGCACCACCACCAGGTGAACTATTATTTAACTTGTAATGTTGTGTAGCTCACTTTCTCTGTCAAAGGGACTATTTTCATGTGATGAATTAATAAAGTTATGTGTGTGCATGTCGGATTAATGGCTATGTTTAGAACAATCTGTAATTCTTAACAATTTTTGATGTTTTTCTAGCCATGTGTAGATCACACCTTCCGCTGTTAAAGGGATTTTTTTCATGTGATGAATTAATAAAGTTATGTGTTCGCGTCTGAGTAATGGCTATGTTGAGAACAATCTGTAATCCTTAACAATTTCTTGATGTCAAAAAAAGCTTGTGGGCCATCTATATAAGAATAAGTCCAGAGGTGTGTAAGAGAGTGAAGTTATGGACTGACCCAATCATTTTAATGTTCAAATTTTCAGCTTTCTGGGGTTGTTGCAGTTGAGATCACTGGGGGCCCCACTATTGACTTTGTCCCTGGTAGAAAGGTATGTTAACGGAGAAAATTGTTAAGCAGCCAAACAATGGTTTCGAATAACTCCATCTTTCTATCAGGATTCAATGGATTCTCCCAAAGAAGGGCGCCTACCTGATGCCAAACAAGGTTGGTCTCTAAAGAATTTGATTAACTTGCATTCTTTTTATTAGTTCTTCAAAACGAGTCAGAGTATGACGCATCATCTATTTTTCCAGTAATTTATTACTGAATGACCCTACAACCAAAACCCTGTCCCGATGTCATTATATGTTGGTAATCTGCAATAATGTGTAATTATGTACTGGGAACACACTCTGACTTCTGAAAAAATTGCACAAGATAGTATAGAGGGTTTAAAACTTTAGAGGTATCTCTTTGGTTTTTGAAACGTGACCTTCGCCCCAGAAGCTTCATAAAACTCAGCAAGCTAATCTCCATCATTAGAAGTGTGGTACGGCTCAGAAAACAAACCTTCAATACTGGAAGCTTGTTGATGTAGATTAGGAAGGGGATGAGAAATTTGAAGAAAGAGAAGGAACTTGGGAGGCAAACAATATCAATATTCAATAATACTCAAAGTCTACCCAAAAACAAATACCATATCCCCTATATATACATAGGGAGTACAATCCCTAAAGCAAATAAATAGTCAAAATGACAACTAAGTACCAAAATGTAAAATGATAAATAACTCCTAATCTTTAAGTTTGCACCTACTATAACGAAAGACAATCCAATTCCCATCACTTGTACAACTAACAAAACTTTGCAGCCCTAGGCAAAACTTAGTGGATTTTTGTATCTTGGACCAATACTTACAGAGATAATTGCATAACATTGTTTCTTACCAACTTGGTTCATATCCTTAAAATCTGTCTTCATACATAGTTTTGCTCTTACATGAGCCTTGCCATACCATTGTTCCACTGTAGGTGTTTGTTGGGGGGTAAGTGTTATCTTTCAGGTTGCACATGAATGCACTGTCTGTCTCTAGAATGGCATCATCTCATTTCATCTCATCCTGAAATGGTGCTAATGCTAATTTTTCTTTAAGCATAATTTCTTTTGCTAGCCAATATATTGGCACCATACCGGTCAGTCTTCCCATAGCGGTATAAGAAATCTTGAACTTTTTCCTATTGCATCAGTACTCTCTACTCATCTAAGCCTTCAGTCTCACCCCCGGTGCTAATAGAATTAAAAGTTCTATTATGAAGTGAACCTTATGCTGGAGATATTTTGCTCCAAGTAGGAATGGACTTCATTCTGATCTCATGCATTTAGGTCCATATGTGCACACATATGAACAAAATGACATTCAACAACTTTTGTTTCTCATCATATTTTCTTGTAGGTGCATCACACTTGAGGGATATTTTCTATCGGATGGGTCTATCTGACAAGGATATTGTGGCACTGTCTGGGGGGCACACATTGGTAACTTTTTCTTCGTATCTACTTCTACATGCATATAGTTCTCGAGTGTGCATAAACTTACTGTTGTAATTTTTGATTGGTGTTGTAGGGAAGGGCTCATCAAGAGAGATCAGGTTTTGAAGGCCCTTGGACAAAGGAGTCTCTGAAGTTTGACAATTCATACTTTGTGTAAGTCCTGGATCGGAACTTAATGACTCATATGTCTAACTGTATTTGGAATAACTATGGCGCAGTAGCATTTGGGTTATAATAATATGTTTGTTTTTATAACATACTAGGGAACTTCTGAAAGGTGAATCGGATGGATTGTTAAAACTTCCAACAGATAAAGTGTTAGTAGAGGATCCTGAGTTCCGCCGCTATGTGGAACTGTATTCAAAGGTAATATGAGCTTGTTTTCGGACCTTAATAACCATTCACACTAATAATTTTCTTATCATGACAAGCCACATAGCTGTTTACTTTTCGTGGGAGTTGGAATGCACCATAAATTTGATATTAAGATGGAAACTTGATAAACTTTCTATAAGCTGCATTTTGTGTCTTTCACTACATACTTTTAGTAATATAAGTGCCAAAATATCACAGTTTCGTTTATAAAGCTAACCTGGAAACCCATCTTGGAAATTCATCAGTACCTAACTGTTTCTTTTTCATTTGTAATTATCTTTAGATATCGAGTCTTACTGCCAGCTCCTTTGACTGGTTTTTACCAGTTATATTGATATGTACTTCATGTTGACTTAACAACTGTCAAGTTGTTGATTGATGGATCAGCAGCTTCTGTGGATGAGCACTGATTAGGTCTAAGAAGGCCAAACCAATCTAGAAAACAAATGCATGATTGGGTGAAAGCATATGCTAAACCAATCTCATAATTAGCATTTGTAACAAGCTTATGTTTGCACTTCAGTTTCTTCTTGACATATTATAGGGCTATACTGATTTCAGAACTGAAGCAAGATGGGCTGAGGCTTAACTAGCCTTAGCATTTGCATGGAATAGATATCAATAATAAGAACTGAAATTTTCAATTTGGACAGTGTAAATAAAGTTAATCATCTGTGTATAATGGTGCCTAATCTTTTTTCCTTTGCTGTTGGGATACTGAAATTTTCCCTTCGAGGAGGATGTAAACCTTTTAGTTTGCCATTTACATGAACAATTTGTGGCAGGACGAGGATGCATTCTTCAGAGACTATGCGGCATCACACAAGAAACTATCAGAGCTAGGGTTTACTCCACCTTCATCGGGTTTCAAGTTTACTGTAAAAAACAGTACACTATTGGTCCAAGGTGCCGTGGGAGCTGCTGTTGCTGTTGCTGTAGTGATTCTGAGTTACTTTTATGAAGTTCACCGGCGAGTCAAGTAGAAAGGACATTTCACATCTAAAAATCCATACAGCTTGGGTGAACTCAGGTTACATTTGCACAGCAAATTGCTTCTATTTCAGTTTGGAAAATGCAATATCATGGAGTCTTCTGCATATAAAATAAATGTGATTGTATGAGCAGTAAAACGATACAATTACGCTTCCCTGCCTGATTGCAAGCAAACAAATGTGTTCATTTGATTAAAGTGTGTATTGAATGCTCTCATTATCCTCTGCTTCTTGTACTTTGTTGTCAAACTCATGTGGTTTATTACATACTCAAAACATGTTATTGTACATTCTCAAGTGATTTGTTGTCACTTGTCTATTTGTCAACTTTTTTTTTAAAAAAAAGTCAGCTTGTGTGACAAGTTAGTGTTGTCATAGCTTCTCATTGGGTGTGCAACGGCTCTACCATGTGGTGTAATAAACACATACAAAAAACTGCCCTCAACTATTCTTGTTCATTGCTTGCATATCCCACAACAAAAATTTACCCCCCCGTTGCTTCTGGATCAGACGAGTCTCTAGTTAATTGCAAACTTAAGAGCGGAGAATGAATTTTGCATTGTCACCAGGAAAACTCACAAAAAATGTAACATTTAATTTTTATTATTTTATTACATCGATGCCATACGTAGTAGAGGTAAAAACATAAATAAGAAATATGCTCAGCTGTTGAGTGGACAAACACCAACAACCACCTTGCACTTGTACTAACATTAGACCTACCCACCACCATTACTGCATAATCCCTCCCCTTAAGGAATGGAAGCAAAGGAGAACAAGTTCATCTCCAACCTATAAGTTATTATAATTTAAATAGAATTAAATTAGCTAATGTTACTCTCTGGAAATTAGCTAATGTTGAAAGACCGCGCGCTGTCAGTCAAGCTTTTGGACTCAAAGATAAGGTCATATCTTGAAAAACCTTCAGCCTCTTATCGATCTTCCTCTGAGAAATCGCAGCACCATTACTAGTTTCCACCTTCTTCCCCATTTCATTAGCCGTATCCAAAACTGCTGCAATTATTGCCTCCTCAAAGTCCTTGTTATCCGGTAGCAAATCTCTCCACTTCTCCCCTGTTTGCTCAGGTGAAATTGACTGCTTACGTGCCTTATTTTCTGGCTCCATAAAAGGTTTCCTCAATTCTCCCATTTCATTTGGTCTGATTAAGTTGGCAGCATTTCCAGACCTTGTTCTCTTAAGGCTTTCTGGAAATTGGTCACTAACAGATTTCGACGAATAGAATGGTGGTGCATCAATATTCAGTGAGTTCCCCCAAAACCCCAATTGCTTGACAACTTTCTGTCCGGGAAGAATCAGTGGGTTTGCTATGATGTTTGAATTGATGTTCTCGTCAGCAAATTCATCCCGGGATTTGAATGAATTTGTTGCTGACAATACTGTATGTTCCTTACATGGCTGAGGCTGCCAAATTGCAGAAGATCCCAGAAAAGCATCAAACAGTTTGCTCTGTTCGACCCTATCAGCACATCTATTCATCATTTCCGATTCAAGGTCCCGGAGCATTTGCTCTGCCCTCTCATATGCCTTGAGATGGGAATCCACGCCTCGTGGGCCATCTGCAACTGCTGGTTTCACTCGTCGGAGATTCTCTTTAGCCTCAGTAATTCTCCCTTGTTTCATCAAGCAAATGCCCAGATTGCACATCTTGTTATTGTCTGGAGCAATCACTAGCGCCCGCCTATAAGCATCTTCAGCTTCAATGTAGTTGTTCTGTTGCATCAGTGCCCACCCCAAATTCCCCTGCAATCATATTCATTTGTTCCAGAGATGAAAACCAGTTATACTAGAGAAGAACTCAACTTAGTGAAATCTTTATCCCAACTTCTTGTAGGGGGGGTCTGCTGGCTACATGAGTCCTCTATCAAGGGTCATATTTTCCGTTAAACCCTAGTCATTAACGAACAGATATATAAATTAGAAATCAAAAAGTGGTAGTCTTACCAGTAATCGAGTTGCCTCTTGCTCCACAGAAACCTGAAATTTCTTCCCTTGGGATCGTGCTGTCTTTGTGCGCTTGCCATTAAATGCCATTCCTTGATGAATCAAGAACAGCTTGCGCCTCAATAATGCTATTTGGTCATCCAACCTTCCACATCTCTGTAAACATGAACAGTTCATATTTACTAAATAAGGGAACTTTTTCAAGTTGTTGTTAACCTATCAAGATGGGGGATGATCAAAATAAGAACACCTTGTAAAGGTCTAATAGGATGTTATCAAGGGACTCTTGAGCTTGATCTGAACACCGACTTCGCAGTGACTTTATGGCTTCAATGGCTTCTTCAGCCCTATTTTGTTGTTTCATTACTATAGCCATATCTTTCAGAGCACTATCCACTCTATCTCCAGCATTAATGGCTGCCCAAAACAATGGTATCGCCTTTTCCGGGTCCTTCTCCACCAACTGAATTCACCATATCCAAATTACCACAATTCAAAAATCATTAATACCAATAGCATTCAGCATATCAAAACACAAGGAATGACCAGCACAAGAAATCCAAAAACCAATCAAAAGTAACCATTTGGTTGAAACATGGAAACCACCAAAATGGAAGACACCCAGAATATGAAAATTCACCAAAGGATTAAAGAAACCATCTTTTTTTGGACCAAAAAAGCTTACTTGAACATTTTTGGCTTTCACGTAAGGAGTGTCGCCAACTGGGACTTTGTGGGTCACATGGAAGGACTCGGATCGAGTTCTCGAGACCCCAAGAGGCTTGGCGGGTGAACAAGGAGCGGATTTAGTAGGTCTGAAACCAGGTGGACCATTCCACATGTCTTGCAACATCTTTGATTTTTAGGGTTTATTAATTTGCAGTGACAATGTACAGATGATTAAGATATGTGGAATGAAGATTAGTACTCTGTGGGCGAGAGAGAGAGAGAGAGTGAGAGAGAGAGAAGGACAGAGAGAGGGAGTGAAGGAACGGTGCAATTTAGCGAGGTATTGAATGGGAGAAATTTTTTGAATTATTCGACCGTTGCAGGTTACCGTTTTACCGACTAGCCGTTGTGTCTTTCCGTATTATATCGAAGGGAGAAAAGATTATTTGCCCTTTTTTCCCGGATGTAATTATTTGCGTATTTGTCCCTGAGATTTAGTGAAACTTTCAATTAACCCCCGTTGTATCGGTATTTTGCATCCGCTCCCATAACTTTTTCCTTATTCTTTTTATTTGAACTATTTCTTTTTCCTAATTCGGCCCCCTCTTACTTATTATAGATTTTATCTTTTGTGTATTTTTGGTAACAGTAATCCCACTGCCTCACATAAGAGTAAATATTCAATGCAACATAGATATCATGTTATCGTTAATGCGTAATCTCACTAATCAATTATAAACAAACTGAAAAAAACTAATAAACCCAAAAATCTAATTGGACATTTTTTTTGGATGTGAACATTACAGGTGGTTTCGACTTAAAAAGGATTATTAATAATAAATTAACAACAATAATGTGATATCACTGTTATATTTAGAGTAATGATATTAAGACTTGAAAAACTGATCAAACAATGTGATAGTGATAGTGATAGTGATAGTGATATTGAAATTTCATCACTTAACATATCATTGGATCAATAAATAAAGTCAGTATTTTAAATTTCAATAATATTTTTTTTGATCTTTTAGAACATATCGTTTAGAGGAGGGTTTAAATTATATATGTATTTTAGTTTAAAGGTCAAAAATGTCCAAATAAACTCATAAGGACCTCGATTAATTTGGCTTAAATTATCACAAGCTCCAATTAGCCATTAGTTATTCAATGTGGTACTCCCGACAGTGGTCCAATTGACATGTAATATCATCAAGGAAATAGAATAGAGTAATGCTACATGGATTTAAAAATTAGACTTGATAATCTCAATCATTGAATAGGTAGTAGGTCCCAATAAATACTGGGAGCCACGGTGAAATCACATCATCATTTGAATGAAATCACATCATTGTTTCTAGGAAAACTTTATGCCATATATCCTCTAGTTTACTATATTTTCAATGATATCTTCTCTATTATTTATCTAAAACATCATTAACATCCCTTCTAGTTTATATTTAAACATTACTAAAATCCCTTACCATTAAACCACAATTTTTAATAAATTTTTTTTATCTAAAATACAAAAAACTACCTCTACATAAACTCTAAATAATTTTTTTTACATAAAATTCGATTAGAATTTATTTTTTTACATATTAAAATTCTAGCTGATTAAATTTTTTTTACATATTAAAATTCTATTCAAGTTGATTAAATTTTATTTTTTTTACGTATTAAAATTTGACACTATTAAATTTTCTTTTTTTGTGTATTAAAATTCGAGTCAATTTGAGCTTAATCTGAGTTGTTAGCGCTGATTAAAATTCAATTCGAGTCTATTAAAATTTATTTATTTTTACTTAAAATTTGTGCAAATTAAAATTCGATTCAAGTTGATTAAAATTTATATTTTTTTACTTATTAAAATTCGAGTCAATTAAAATTCAATATAAGTTGATTAAATTTTGATTCAAGTTGATTAAAAATGAATTTTATTAGGCTCGAATTTAATTTTAGTCGACCCAAATTTTAATATGTAAAAAAATTTATAAAATAGAGAGGTCACATTAAAAATATGTCTATTTACGGGGCAGTATGGATGAAATTTTTTCTAAAACATATCATTGACAATTTATTAAAATTGTATTTCGAAGAAGAATCAATAGAATAACTAATACCATAAAAACAGACCAAAATAAAGTGTCAAAGTTTTTATCAGAATCTTATTGGATAAAAAATTGAAGTGTAATACTGATAAATAATTTTTCAACACTATAACCGAACCCTTAATCATCCACCTTCTGCCCATTTATATACAGTAAGTAGGCCTCTACTATAGTACATTGCCGGGCTGAGAAAAGGTACTTCTGATGCTCTACATAGCTAGGCCTTCCATTGCAAGTAGGTAGATCTAGAAGAAACGCCTTCCAAGTTCCAACCTCCTCGAAAAGTTGGAAGCAAGGCTGTAACGGTGGAAATCAAAGCTTCTCTCCTATGCCAGTCGTGCCACACTAATCGGATCTACTGCACTGGCCATACCAGTCTATGCTATGCAATCCTTCCTCCTCAAATCCATATGCTCCAAGATGGATAGTAAAATCAGGAATTTTTGGTGGGGTAGCTCAAATGAACATCATAAGCTAGCAACAAAATCATGGGACTTTCTATGCAAACCAAAACTTGAAGGTGGAATGGGGTTTAGAAAAATGCAGGATATCAATAGGTCTATTATGGCAAAATTGGGTTGGCAAATCTTGGCCCAAACATATAAACCATGGGTATCTCAAATGACTAGCAAGTATTGCTCAAGGAACTCTTTCCTCTATGTCCATAAACAGACCCAAGATTCAATGATATGGAAGCAAATCCTTGATTGTAGACCCATAGTTGAAGCTGGAGCATGCTACATGGTGGGTTATGGAAAATCAAGCAACATTTGGACTGAACCATGGGTTCCAAAAGGAGAAAATTTCAAAGCTCAAATACTCTCAGACTCTGAGAATCCTCCTATGCTAGTGGCTGAACTGTTCGACCCACACTTGGAACAAGGACCTAATTTCCTCCACCTTCAATGCAGAAACAGCACAGGCAATCCTCAAAATACAACTTCCACATTGCCCCCTACCTGACCAAATGGTGTGGATCCCCTCTGTGAATGGAAACTTCACCACAAAATCAGCATACCTCGCCATTACTTCAAACCAACCAAAGGCTAATTCTTATTTGAGCATGCAAGATTGGAAAGTACTCTGGAAGTCAAAATTACATGAGACACAAGATCATCCTATGGAGAATTGCAACTTATGGTCTCCCAACCAAAAGGCTACTGGCCACAAGAATCTATATTGAAGATAAATCCTGCCCCCTATGTGCCCAATCAAATGAAACAGAGGCACACTTGTTTTTTTTTATGTCCACTTGCTAGAATGGTCTGGTTCAACAGATGGGGACTCCACAGGGATAGGTTGGCTCATTTTAATGCCCAGGACTGGAGACATCACATGCTCAACCACACATCCATCCTTGGGCCATTTTCTCCCCCCCATCCCCAATTGTTGATGTACACTGCAACACTTTCACAAGTCATCTGGAAATGGAGAAACAGGGTTCAGTTTCAGAAGTCCCAAATCAACCCTCACCAAGTAATGCAAGAGGTAGACCAAGCTTTTGAAGAATACAAAGAGGTGCCGTTACAATCAAAATCAGTGAATATGCAGCCAGCTTATCAGAGAAAGGATAGAATGCACAGGTGGTTATAGGAAAGACCAATAAAAATTAATGTGGATGGAACTGTTGGAGCAAATGTCTCACATGCCTCTATAATAGTAATGTGCCACACCCTAACTGACTTGGGTGCGTAATGACGGTCTTGGTGGCACCTGGCACCAAGGCTCACCACGAGATTGAATCAAGGTGATGCGGTTAAGCAGATTGACAGATTGGTGCGGACTATGGCAACAGAAGACCACCCGGCTGAGCATGGCAGCACATGGTGGGCTCAATTGAGGCAATGTGGGTGCATAGCTTTGAATTGCATGGCATGGACTGAACCCAACATGCAAAATAGTTCATGAGGCAAGACTGGCTATTGAATTTGGACACATGGCTGCTCAATGCATGTGACCAGGAGGATGTGGGCAGTTGCTGAACAAGGCTTAGTCTGTGGGAAGCAGTTCTGAGCGTTCTTAGCCTTATTCTGGTCCAGATGCATGCTAATGAGGGGCAATTCCACATCAGTTACCGAATGAGTGGAATTGCCTACTAGGTGTCGCACAAAGATCAAATCTGCTGACCAAGTCTGCTATGGATTAGCAGAATGTGTGTAACTACCCTTTGGCAGATAGGGGTGTCATCTGCCATACTCCTTGTATAAATAGGGGTACTTGGGCATTCTGGTGGACAGAGAGTGTTTTTTGCTAAGTTTCCTTGTAAATTGTATTGAGTTCAATATATAAGGTTTGGGAGTGTTGTCCTAATAAATTCGTGTTTGCCTTTGTGTGTGAGTTTCTGTCCCTGTTTTTGAGATTATGGGTAGCTGGTTGCAGTGGCAACGCCTTAAAGAAAAACGAGTTGTTACCCAGTGACACAAGGAAACATAGAGGGGAGACGTTGGGGGCAATGATCGTTTTGGAAGAAACTGAAGACCCATTGCAAGCAGAAGCTTTTTAGCAGCAAGCGAAGCCCTTCTATGAGCAGAATCACAAGGATGGCATTATGTAACCATAGAAGGAGACTCTCAGCAAGTTGTACATGCAGCGATGCTTCAGCATATTAACCAACCTGGAAGATCCTAGCCATCATACAGGACATCAAGACTTTTTTGGGAATACATCAAGACTGGAGTATAATACCTACATACAGGGAATCCAATACTGCTGCACATGAACTGGCACAGTGGGGCAAAAAATGAAGCTCGGGTGAATTCCAAGGGAGTGATCTGCCACCAATAGTGAAAAGAAGAATCATAGAGGACAAGCCACCTTAGTTTTTTCTTTTAGTTTTCTTTCCTTTTGAATTTCTGTTTTTAGCTTGTCCGCCCTCCTTTTCTCTGTACTCAGTTTTCAAAAAAAATAGTACATTGCGTGGAGGCCTTGAGGTGGCAGACCTGGTGGTTTGGTTTTCAAGTTACGCAAACCTATGACATTATTTTTATCACTTTTTCTTGGCACTACAACAGTAATAAATATAATCAAAAATGTAATAAATATCGATACGGCACCAAATTTTTTTTTGTGGGTACCATAGACAACTCCATCACGTTATATCGTTATTTTACTAAAGGGAACAAGATTGGAATTTTTTTTTTCCTTTGTGGTTTGGGCCAAGTGAACAACATTATAAACTAAATTGACACCATATCAAAAGTTGAAAGGCGAAATTTACACAAAAAAATAAAATAAAATTAGGATCATAGTGACAATCAGGTAATATTTTAAGTGATGAAAAAGGAAAATATTATTTGTACCTAAATGCCGACCTAATCAATCGTAATAATGAATTGAGAGTAGATTCCAACAAATATTGGAACCTACAATTAAACCAATGATAAAGATTAATAAGGTCAAAAAAATATGTCAATATTTTAAGTCCAAGTAGCAGTGAAAAATACAACCAACCCTTGAGAAATGCACTAATCCCTTTCATGCTAGGTGAAGAAAATAAGTACATGACAGATAGGTGAAACACCTTGTACCTTCCAATTCCATTTATTTAATAGAGTCTTTCAAATGGAGTTTATGGAGAAAAACATGCAATAGTTTTTATTTTTTTTGTTATGGTGTCTAGACTTGCGTCGACTATTCTCTCGAGCTTAGATAGTGACCACCGTAGCCGAAGTGGAATATGTCCCTTCACGAAAAAAAGGTTAGTAATCCTTGGGGAGTGTGAGAAGTGTTAAACCTGAAATCTCTGAATTACTAAAAGCCAGATTTAGCCATTCAACCACCCTAGTTAAAAACATGCAATAGTTGGTTTTCATACTTAATAGTCAAATACTTTCTATCATGTTACAACTCCTAAGTCTTCAACTGAACAATCATTCAACTCAATTCAGACAAGCACCCATCAGTTTACCATTATATTGCTATTTTCGAAGGCTACCAGTCAAAATAGACTCAACCCTACATATACATTTTTTTTTGGTCATGGAGAATCTTCATACCCTCATGTCATTTAGTCTCAAATAACACAAATCAATTGAATTTTGATTTTACACGGTTAGAAAGTTTTTTTTTTTTTTATCATGGAAAATCTTCATATTGTGTCATTTAGACTCAAATATTGAACTTGTATTTTACACGATTAGAAAGACTCGATCTCAGGACGTGCGGTTGCCCAACATATGCAATGGGCAACAAATAGGCTACAATCTGGGACGGGACCTAACGCGACCTGGCCAAATTAATTCTGAGGTTGAAGTAGCCAAATATAGGTTCTAGCCCATGGGAGAATGAATATTTTGGTATAATTTATGAGACTACCTATTTTCACTCAGAAGGTAGGGTGACTAGATTTTGGGGGCAGATCCAATGTAACAGAAATTTAAAAGGCTATTTTATACACATCTCAGTACCATATAGAAACAGAGGCTAAGAATACTACTATGCTAATACTGTAATCAACATTCAGTGAATCTACTGTAAAGAACACCATGTTTATGGCTTTACATGAGATAAAAGCGACCAACAGTGATAAAACCATGGTGAATTGCCAGCCATACTGCACAACAAATGCCTTGAAACCATGGCTCATACTACAGTGCTCGAAAACTGTCTACTTTATCAAGTCTGGCAGTACCTGAGCTAGATGACTCCCCCATAGCATCAGGAGAAGCAGTTATGCAGGACGACTCCCTCTTTAGAGAAGTAGGCATCCCTGATTGTTCCTGAAAAATTACAAATAATATAACAAATTCAGAAAGTAAACCTACAAACATCGAACAAAAGAGATGTGTGAGACACAGGAATTTGCTGCGTAGCCCCCCCCCCGCAAAAAAAAAAAAAAAAAAAAAAAAGGTGGCAAAAAAAAAAAACAGTTGAAACACATCAAAACGGAAACAAGAGCATGTTATACAAGATTATTCTTGTCAGACAAATCATCCTACCATATTTTTATTTGTTTTGAAGGTGAAAACCAGAAGACAGGCCACCACCATAGCCATTTCTGCTACTTACCAGTCTACTTGGCTCCTGTCACGTACTTGTATACTAAAAAAACAACAAAAAGAAATCATTCCAATTGGTATTTGTTAGCTAGCTGAGGCTGTTGGCGCGGGAGGATGGACTCAGTGAAAATTAACCTTCAGTATTAATTTCACAAAGTGGATGCACTATATTCGAACTCACAACCCTGCCAAGCACTTTCTCACTGTAGTAAGCAAAGACCCCTAGCCCATGCAATAATACATGTACATATTTTTGAAAGATTTTTGAACAGATCAATGGAGCAAAAAGACCAATATATAGTTGCTTCTTGCCAATGATAACTTCAGCAACTTTCGGGAACAAGAACTTCAGGAAGAATATCCATATTACCTTCAGTAAATGCAACCTCAAGTCACAAGGCTGAACTCGATTCCCAAGACATACCAGAACAAATTTTGAATAGTTAGACAAAACATCAACAGATGCTTGCTTCTTTTCATCAATCTGCAGTTGTATTTCACTCTAATTAGTAAGAGTCCAAAGGAGACCACTAATACCAAGGAAATGTTCATGCAATAACAATTAAATGATGTAGACATGTCAAACATGAGTTACCACTATAAAATAAGGTTCAAAATAAAGAAAACTTAGAATTTCAGAAGTAGAAGAATCCTTTCTACTGTCTGTATTGTACCTCATTGAAATAGCAGTCAAACTATGACCTGGGCCAGATATATTTGTCTCAGACGGTCACATATGACGCTGCTAGTATGGGTAATCCATAGTCATTGGACCATCTCCTCTCCATTCCTAGCTTTTTAGGTAAGAGTGCAGATGAATGGCTACTATATTCAAAAGAAACATTATTTTGGACTCAAACCCACATCTTGCCATAGCCTGAAAATGGGAATATGCCCTGCTTCAAGCCATGCAAATCCTACAACAGGAAAGCTTGACAACTGTATCATATATCTGAGATTTACAGCATAAAAAGAACAGGAGTTTATCCTTTTCATAGGCCTGGAATATTTTTTATTGAACCGTGACATCATTGTTTTGCATCAGCTTTTATGATGCCAATAAACTCAAATCAGAAACAAGGTCTCAAAATCCTAAGATAAAGTATTCAGGAAATGGAGTCCGTCCCTTCTACATGCAATATCTCGATGTTCACTTAGGCGGGGAATTTCTTTTTAGAATTCGCCCTTGAAGTTGGACCCCAGGTTCATCAGCTAGGCAGTAAGGCGGAACTCTTCCCAGGTAAACCTTAGTCAAGGACTCAAGAGAGCCAGCAGCAGTGAGAAAACCTACTTATGTAGAACGGGAAGGACTAGAAATCACAGAATAAAAAGATAAGAAGAGAGAAGAAGGGGTGAAAGGGGTTTATCTCATCCTCGCAAGGAATCGGTGAAGAAACACACAAATTTCTGCAGAGAATACTCAATTCTTATTCATAATCTCTCTAATAAAAACAATTGAGATTACACCTTTATTTATAGGCTAAGTTCCCCACTAAAATAAAAACTACTATTCTACTAAAATACTAAAAGAATTTTATAATCAAACTCTCAAATCCCGATCCTACTAAAACTCTATAATAATTTCCTAGTTAAACTCTAATTAAAACTCCTAGTCAAATAAATACTCATAAATCAAATAATAATAATAAACTACCAATTACACTTCCCTTTAGACCAAAAATTCCAAGTTTTTCGCTTAGGCTTCCAAAGTCGATTACATTGGTCCGACTAATCAATGGCTGCGCCATCAATTCTCCCCCGCTGAAAAGAACTTGACTCCGGTGAGTAAGGAGATAGGCCAAGAATATCATTTGATGGAGAAGCTCTTTGAATCAACAACGAACTTTTTTTCAATAGTAAAGTACGCGCATCTGTAGCACAAGTAAGAGTATACTTCTTTCTTCCAATTACAAAAGAATAGGTATTAGCACGCCCTGCATGTTGTGCATCACGATCCCATATCCAAGTGCGCCCTAAAAGTATATGACAAAGCTTGAGAGGCAATACATCACACATGACGGTCTCTTTAAGACTTCCAATGGTGAATGTAACTAGACATCTCTTATCAACTTTCAGCTTCGTATTAGTAATCCATGCTACATGACATGGTTCCAGATGTGGTTCAACTTTCAAATTTAGCTTCTTCACAATCGCTTCTGATACCACATTTGTGCAACTTCCCATGTCAATCACTAACGAACATATCTGTCTTTTACAACAAACTCTTGTTTGAAAGATTTTTCCTTGATGAATAAACTCACCATTAACAACTTCTTTATTAGCAATAAGTAGAGGACGAATAACACCCATAAAATGATCATCACTCAAATCATCTAAATTAACCTCACCCATATCAAGAGGTTCTACAATCTCTGTTTCAAATTTTGGCTCATCAGAATCATTATGCCCCTTAGAATCTTCCTTTTCAACTACAGCAACAGATTTTGAGGGGCATTGAAAAGAGAGATGACCAAAACCAAGATAATTAAAACATCTTGTTTTAGAATTAGTACTCTCTTGAGAAGAAGAATTAGCACTAGCCCGAGATGATTTGCTGGAAATAAAAGTATTCTCTTGGGGTTTATTAGTGGACTTACCTTGATTTGCATCTACAACAGTTTTCTCGATCCGGGTTGGAGGTGTCATAGAAGATCTCATATAAGATCTCTTTTTCAACTCATCTTCCATTTGATAGGCAACCTGAACTACATCTGCCATGGTATAAAGTCTATTTGCAGCTAAACCTGTAGAAATTTGTGAATTGAGATCTTGCCTGTACATGGCAATCATTACATCCTCAATCCATGGAAACTCTGATCGGGTGGCTAAGCTATAGAACTTTCCTATGTACTCCTCCACAGACATACTCCCTTGATTCAATTGTGTACACTGTATATGAGCTCGTTGCTTATAATTAGTAGGCACAAAGTACCGAGTCATAGCAGTCTTCATATCATCCCATGATCTATCAAAGTGAGTTTGTTGGTACTTTATCCACCAAAGTCTTGTTATACCCTTCAATTTTGATTCTGCAAATAATACCTTCCTTTCATCAATTAAACGATACCATCTGAAGAAGCTTTCAATGTAATGCAACCAATCAAGGAATATCTCAAAATTATTGTCCCCGTGAAAATCTCCAACCTCTAATTTAACCCCTTTATCAAAATCAAACAATCTTGGGTCTTCTCAAACTGGACCTTGTGGTGGAGGGACTTGTGCAAGCATTAGTTGTTGATTGATAGCCGATGAGGAGGAATCATGATTTGCATGCATCTCTACTCCTTTACCCTTTTTATCTAAGAAATAAGCTTCCATGATCTCCTTTAGTGATGTTATAGACGCCTCTAGTGAATCCATCCTCTCATTCATGGCCTTTTGTGATTCAATTTGTGCTTGGAATAAAGCCTCCACTTTAGCATTTAATTCGGCGTAGGAAACCATCATAATCAAGAGGAAATTCTGAAATTCATTTATGGGGATGATTCTTTAATTTTATGGATATGTTGGGGATGTTTCTACAATTCTAAAATTTTTGGGGGAAGATTTGACAATTTCTGAAACTTTCGTTGGTGGTTCTGGAACTTCTGAAATTTTTTAGGGTGTTTCTGTAATTTTTAAAACAGATGGGATGTTGCTGCAATTTTCTGAATATATTGGAAGAGTTTTTTTTTTTAAAATGTCCAGCCTGATGAACAGTACCGATGAACAATACTGTAAATAGTAACCGTGAACAGTGCCACGATGATTTTTTTTTTACTTATCGAAGTTAGGATCTGATACCAAACTGATGTAGAACGGGAAGGACTAGAGATCACAGAATAAAAAGAGATGAAGAAAGAAGAAGGGGTGAAAGGGGTTTACCTCATCCTCGCAAGGAATCGGTGAAGAAACACACAAATCTCCACAGAAAATACTCAATTCTTATTCATAATCTCTCTAATAAAAAAAATTGGGATTACACCTTTATTTATAGGCTAAGTTCCCCTCTAAAATAAAAGCTACTATCCTACTAAAATACTAAAAGAATTTTATAATCAAACTCTTAAATCCCGATCCTACTAAAACTCTATAATAATTTCCTAGTTAAACTCTAATTAAAACTCCTAATCAAACAAATACTCATAAATCAAATAATAATAATAAACTACCAATTACACTTCCCTTTGGACCAAAAATTTCTAATTTTTCGCCTAGGCTTCCAAAGTCGATTACATTGGTCCAAGCAACCAATAGTCGCGCCATCACCTACACATCATGACGAGCCCTTAAATAACAAAGCAATGCTGCCGACCACCACAATGAAGAAGTCGTATCTGATTCACTTGGTTGCTCGAGCTTACATTGTGATGAGTTTTAATCATGGTTATCACAATTCACTAAACCCTTAACGACTAACGATCTGGGTATATCGATCCCACACGAGGTGGGTTCACGATCTAGATCACCAAAATAGATAACCACAAATGTAATACTAACCCTAAATTAATTTGCTTTAGAACATGTAGTATAAATATAAAATACATATTAATTGACTACATGTATATAGATTTATAATTATATATTGTTTCAGATAATAGAAAATCAAACACAACTATAAGATAAATGGTAACTAACTTAGTGTTTATGAATGTTTTGTAATATATAATGTTATATAATAGTAAAAATGATCTCTATAAGACTTCCAAAACGAATTACGATCCAAAATATCGTATCAACTAAACCTACCCCTATCGTACCGTGTACTTAAAAAAGTATCGTACCATATACTCGTGCTCGTGCTCGTACTCCGTACCAAAGCGACTCAAGATCCAGGTAACATTGGTTTTAATCTCAATGGATAAGAATAATTGTTTCCAGAAATCACATTCATGTTTCATGGCAATAGTAGGATGTTTCACTTTTGAATCGCCATACTCTAAAACCTTGTTGGCTCATCCCCATTCATGCAAGTATTTCCATTTTATTTTTTGGTTAGAAGACCTTAAATTCATTCC